CTTGTTTAAAAGTTTCCTTGTGTCCTCTCCCCTTGTCCTCCTCCTGAACGCAAGTGTGATGGCCTCGATCCTCAGGTGCTGTCCTTGGCTGGCAAGGCTTCATGACCCCACCCCCTTTTATTGGTCCCTTTTTTTTGACAAGGTGCCTACATCCTGCCTCATCTCCTCCAAAAAAGCGATGTTGGTGTCCAGGAGGGGGTGCCTTAGTTAGAAGGGTTTCAAGTTTTCCCTACAAGTTTCCCCCTTCAGTTAAACTAGTTTACAAACACCTGCAAGTGGACAACCTTTGAAACCAAAAGGGAACTAAAAGTTTACCCTACCAGATTTTAGCTAAGCCACCTTTCAAACACCTGCAAGTTGTCAACCTTAGCCAAGAAGACCTCCTCGGGCAGCCTCCCTTCCTCAGTCCTTGGCAAAGTGACTCTTCCCTTTTCTTCCCTTTCCCTGACTGCCAGGTGTCCCTGTGTTTCCCCTCTTTCTAACCATTTTCCATTTTCTTCCCTTTTCTGACTGGTTTCCATAGTTTCCCTGTTTCTGACCAAAGCTCTGCCCCTCCACCCTCTCTGCCACCGCCTCTGCCCAAAGCTCGAGCATGGCCATGGTGCCTGGGCAGAGGCAAACCTTACCTTTCCTCTTTCCTAAACCTAAACTAGCCAAAGGTGCACAGGTGAGACCACCTTCTCACCTGGCTGCACTGGCCTCGCTCCCTCACTGTGGCAGCATAGATGAGCTCCCTGGCCTCCCTCACTCCTTGGCAAAAGCTCTGAATCCCGCCCTGCAACCTCTCCACTTTGCTCCAGCCAAGACACCAACTGACCAGGACCTCACCTCCCTGGGCACTTTCTTCAAGAAGTTCAGCTGCTCTTCCCAACCTCATGCAAACACTTGTTTTTTCTCTCCTTCTCCTGCTAAAAATTCTCTGTCAAGCTGCTGCCAGATGCCCTGGCCAACCTCACCTCTATCTCCTGCAGCTTCTGGTAGATGGCCTTCAACCTCAACTTGCAAAGCCTACCTCTACCAAGGCCAGCTTGCATGCACTTCTTCAGTCAAGGCTCAAGACTTGCTCTCCCTGATGCGCTGTCCCCTCCACCTTCTCTTTCTTGCCCACCTTCTCCACAGCCTGACCCAGCCTCAGATCATGCAGTTTGAGAACAAACCTCCCTTCACCTTTCAGTCCAAGCCTCAAGTACCCAACCACCAGTGCCAAGCACATTGGCACTACCTTCTCCATGACCTCAGCTCTCCTCCAATCTTACACTTCAAACTCGATCCCTCAGCAAATGCTGGCAAAACGATCTCCCTTGCTGTCAAGCCGCTTGACCTTGCCTTAAACTGTGCGCCCTCTGCTAAACAGCTGCGGCTGTCTCAAACCTCACCTCTTCCCTCAACTCCTGTCTCTTCCCTTCAGGCCACCCCCCCTTGCCTGGGGAACTTGATCCCATAGAAGGAAGTGTGGCCCTGGATCTATTTCAGTAGGATCCTTTGATGTACACCGAGTGGATGTGCTGATCAAAGGATGTCCCTGGTAAATAGTCTTGCAAATAGCATACCACAGAAAGATGTACACCGATGGATGTACTGATCACAGGATGTTTCTGGTGGATTGGCTTGTGCGTAATATGACAGGTGCAGTGGATCTATTTCAGCAGGATCCTTTGAAGTACACCGAATGGATGTACTGATCACAGGATGTTTCTGGTGGATTGGTTTGTGCATAATATGACAGGTGCAGTGGATCTATTTCAGCAGGATCCTTTGATGTACACCGAATGGATGTACTGATCACAGGATGTTTCTGGTGGATTGGCTTGTGCATAATATGACAGGTGCAGTGGATCTATTTCAGCAGGATCCTTTGATGTACACCGAATGGATGTACTGATCACAGGATGTTTCTGGTGGATTGGCTTGTGCATAATATACAGGTGCAGGTGGATTCCTATTTTTCAGCAGGGATCCTTTGATGTACAAACCGAAATGGATGTAACTGATCACAGGATGTTTTCTGGTGGATTTGGGCTTGTTGGGCATAATATGACAAGTTTGCAGTGGATTCTATTCAGCAGATATCCTTTGATGTACACCGAATGGATGTACTGATCACAGGATGTTTCTGGTGGATTGGCTTGTGCATAATATGACAGGTGCAGTGGATCTATTTCAGCAGGATCCTTTGATGTACACCGAATGGATGTACTGATCACAGGATGGTTCTGGTGGATTGGCTTGTGCATAATATGACAGGTGCAGTGGATCTATTTCAGCAGGATCCTTTGATGTACACCGAATGGATGTACTGATCACAGGATGTTTCTGGTGGATTGGCTTGTGCATAATATGACAGGTGCAGTGGATCTATTTCAGCAGGATCCTTTGATGTACACCGAATGGATGTACTGATCACAGGATGTTTCTGGTGGATTGGCTTGTGCATAATATGACAGGTGCAGTGGAACAAGCTGGGCTACTAAACCAAAGATTTCTTGGCATATCTTTGTTTCAAAAAACAAGTTATGAAGTTCACAAAAAGTACCCACCTTCAAGCCCCCTCTCCCAGCTAATAACCACAGCCCCCCCCTGGTTAATCAAGTGGGTTGCCTGCCCCCCTTGCCCAAACACTTTCTTTTGAAAGCCCCCCCCCCTTGACTCAAAGCCCTGAAAGAACACCCAACTAAGCAAACCACAAGTTTCAACCCCCCCACTAAATGCCACCCCTCCACCAAAAGTCCTCAATCCCAACCAGAAGTTTCAACCCTCTTGCAAAAAAATCTTCATAAATCCTACACAAGAAAAGAAACCCAAAAGTTTCAACCCCACCAAAAGGGAACCCACCCCATGCCAAACTACCCTTCAAACCTCAAATCCTACATGTCTCATCTGCCCCACCTACACAAATCCTAAAGCAACGTTTCCTGACCCTCCCCTTTTCAGGCAACATACACCCAGAAACAAAAAAACCCAAGCCCTCAACCCTCAAATCCTGAAAGCCTCTTGGACCCCTAAAGCCCCAACCCCTCCTAATTACCGTCAACCCTCAAACATGAAAGCCTCACCTCCTCCTACCCTCAACCCTCAAGCCTCCTACCCTCAGAAAGCCTCAACTCCTCCTACCTGTACTCATGAAAGCTTCAACTCCTCCTACCCCTCCTGGCCTCAAGCCCCCATCTGTTTCAACCCCCAGCCCCAAGAAACCCCAAAAGTTTCAACCCCACCAAAAGGGGAACCCCCCCCATGCCAAACTACCCTTCAAACCTCAAATCCTACCTGTCTCATCTGCCCCACCTACACAAATCCTAAAGCAATGTTTCTTAACCCTCCCCTTTTCAGGCAACATACACCCAGAAACAAAAAGGGGAACCCCCTCAAACCTCAACCCCTCAAACCCTCA